GATTACGACACCGTGACGGTTCAAATTTCCAATGCGACGGCGAGGTCGTTTATCAGTAAATGTAGCCCAAAATAATCGCGGTATGTGTTATCGTATTTATATGTGTACTGTTATCATATATATGACATAAAATGTGTTGTTTTCTATCAATATTACGTTCTCTACTTATTTATAAAATGAATACTTTAGTCGAGGGGGCGGGGATGAAAAGAAGCAGCCGATGCGGACATTTCCAGTGGTAAATTTCTATATTTTCCAAAATAATGCAAAAAAACGCACGAATTTTGAGTTGTGAATTTTATAATTATCTACTATGTAATACGAATAAATAACCTTGATAAAAATATAATTGTTATCTCACTTAATACAAAATTCATTCGAATGTATGAACAAATTATATGGAACAATAATTATTGTTGTTTACTGATCGCCGATCATGCTTTGTTTATTCAGATTAAGTATTCTTGTTTTTCAAAAAAAAAAAAAAAAAATCGTTGCTATCATATTTTCCAGTAGCAACTTTTCATTTTTCCGTCTTTAACTTTCTTATGAATATCATGATTGTGCATAAAAATTTTAAATTTTTGCGATTCTATTTAATTAAAATATTAGTGACAGTGACGATCAAATGGCCGTAAAAAAAGTACGAATAAATAACTTTGATAAAAATATAATTATCGGAAATCACAGAAAATACGATTTCACCAAATAATATTCCGTAATTATTGCGTAAAAAAGTATTTGTTAAAATATTTATTTGTTTCATATTTATATTTTGTACACATTTATGTTATAATAATAAAAATACGAATAGCTAACAAAACTCTATATTCTTACTTATTTATTAGCTATCTAGGTATCAATTATTATCATTAATTGTAAATATTTTTAATATCCATTAATTTCAATGTTTCACATCTACCAGGCGTCCCGTGACGGCTTTATTTTTATCTCCTTTATTTTTTTCATTCATGTCTTTATTTTCCTCTTCTTCTTTATTCGTGGTATTTCTAGATCTTTTTCAGTGTTTATTTCATTAAAAGAATCGCTAGGAAAACGTGTTGTCAAGCCCTCATTAGTTGAGATAAGGCAAGTTATTATACTTAAGCAGTCTAGTACTAATATTCTATAGACTATAATTATTATTCCACGTTCATATAATTTTCATCGCTTTAATTAAAGGTCAAACCGGTATGTAATTTTGATTTTCAAGTAGTAACATATTATTATTATATTATAAAGAGCAATGTGCGTAGTGCGTGTTTTGTTTATAACTGTTAATTATATTGGCGTCATTAGTTTTAAGTTTTTATTTTCATTGCCATTGTGCTGCTTTGTTTTTTGTTGGCAACATTTATTATTATCTTTAGACAGCTATGGTGATAGTGCCTATTTATTTTTCTCATTTTTTGATCATCGTCGTTATTTTATTTATATTATATTATGTTTTGTTCATTGTTGTTTTTTGTCCGTTTGGTGGACTACATCTATGTGGCATACATGTTATATTATTACAAGAAAAACCTCGTGTTAAACATTTAGCAAATTTATTCTTGTTAATTGTCTTTGTCTTTTGCTGTGAACGACGCTGGTTCGATTACTCTAATTGTTTTATTTTGTTATATTGTTATTATTCTTAGTATAGAGTGGTCATTTTTACCAGTAATAAGGAAACATCGACACTTCGTGTCTGCTGGTCCAGTGCGTTTAACATTGTACGTGGTTTATTGTTGGCTGCATAGTCTTGGGGTATATATTGATATTGTTATTTGTGGCTAAGTATTAAGTAAGTGTTTTTCTTAGGTTATTGTATGGTCTGCAGCTCATAAAACTAATTTTATTTTTATATACGAGTATATTTATACATCAAAGAACTTATATTATTGTTATTATTATTTGAAGCTGTTTGAGGCTTTATATTTATTATTGTAATTTTAATAATATATATATATATATTTTTTTTTTGGTGGTGTTTTCTAAATTGAGGTATATAAGTTGGCGAGTTTCTAACTAACATTACATTACCAGATTGAATTTTTTTTACATCTATAAATGTATAAATGTTCAGATGGAATATTTCAGAATTATTAAAAAAAAAATTAACTTTTTTGTGAAAAGACAGTAGATTTAATGTCATTTAATATTTATTAATTTTAACACTGTACCTACAATTTTTTTATGAATGTAGTAAATTTAGAACATCTAGAAACTAAATATTATGTATATACTTATAAATATATATATATATAAATATACAATAAAAAGCTTAACCGATAGCATAGAGGTTGAGTTTTTATTGATCGTAATAATGATAAACGACAACTTGCTTATCATTACTTATCAATTAGGAATCAAGAAAAAGATAATTTATTATTGTAATTATTATAATATTGTGTTGAAAAAATTAACTGAGTTCAGGACCCTTTATAAAAACGCCAAATCCTGCATGAATAACCTTTTTACCTGAATCATCATTAAATGTAAACTTTTACACGAATAACCTTTTTACATTTTTACCTACAAATCAAAGATACTGTATTCTTCTACATGGACATTTTTACCTGTAAATAATAGGGTAATACTATTTGAATTCACGATTTTGTAGTTGAAAAGCTCAAAAAACTAAAAATGATCATTAGTTGAAAATAACAAATATATAAAATACAAACACTTGATAGAACGTGTTTATACGCTGTATGATAATTTTCGAAAGTTAGGTTATATCCGATCAGTGGCGTATATAGAAATAATTTTTGGGGTGGGCTATAGTAGATAGAAATTAGCAAGTGATCTAGCAGTTAGCATCTAGAGGCAAAGGTATCTCTGACCTTATTAAATCTGATAAGCAAAAAAAAAAGTCATTCAAAATTATACGTTTAGAACAATTACGAAAATATTAAAATAATAAATAGAAATAAAAACAGAGGCTCAAGGGGGGGGGGGGCGATTGTCTCATCGCCCCCTCAGAAATATGCCCTTTCCTATAGGCTATATATATTTAACAGTTTCTATAAAAGAATTTTATGAAAATCATCTATAACATTGATACATTATATAATAAATAATAAGTAATAAGCATAGGGACATAGATGACAGATCAAAATAATTGTTTAATCTATATGCTGTTAATATGTTTATAGAACCATAAATCATAATAAAATATTAGAATACGATTAAGAATGTATAAAAATGGATATTTGCCTAAAGTACCTAAACTAAACAAGTTATATTAAAAATCAGTAATCAGCACCTAATACCTATATTATATTATGTACATTTCTTATGATAGGTAGATTTTTTTCTATTAAGTATAGAAAAAATTAATTTTAGGTATGTATTATGTAACATTAAACCCTTTATAACTTCACATAAAAAAAAACAAAACAAATAGGTAAAAATCATTTTTCTATTTTTTTTTTTACAAAACTATTAACAATGTCATCAATTTGTAACGGTATATTTCTATGAATTGTCATTAAGGCTAATCCTGTTAATCGAACATTTCCACATTGGTTTCTTACGTATGTTTTTAGTCTTCCAAGAGTTGAAAAACTTCTCTCTACACTTGCAGTAGTAATTGGTATTGTACATAAAATTTTCAGAAGAATATAAATATTAGGGAACAAATCAAATCGACACACTTTCAAAGCTGTTAGAGCATTTTTTGGAATCTTTTCAATGGTTGTATTAACCATTTTCCACTTTTCAACCCATAATGTCCATTCACCTTGAATCATAGCTTCATCATTTTCAAAATCAGCAAGGTAAAAGTGTACAGCATCAACAATATTTTCATATTTTGATTTAATTGCATTTGTTGGTATAATGTTTTGTAAGCTCACAAGAATTTTTTTGTGTTTGGAAAATCTATTAACTAATGACGAGTTTAATTCATCAAGATATGGTATGAATAAACTAATTCTATAATATACATCTGGAGAATTGAATAATTATGACGATGTCTTTGGATACCAACAATCCTAGGTATTGATGGTTCAACATTAAGTTTAGAACTAATAGCTATCCTAGGTATTGATGGTTCAACATTAAGTTTAGAACTAATAGCTTGAGCACTTAAATACAATTGTTTAAATATTCAATTTCAACGTTTGATCTAATATTATTTATGACTGATTGTACAAGTTCTATGTGCCCAATAGCAGAACTTAAATCAATATCAGGTTTTTGTAGGCTAACTGATATTTGATGAGTTATAGCCAACATTTTGCTAACAGTGACTAATGTTATTAAAAACTCAAAATCACAAAGTTTTTTATGAAATGATCTAGCAGCTGCTCCATCATCTTTATTATCTAACATTATTTGTTCCAAAGTTTCAATAATTGGTAAAATAGCATTTTTGAAATTAAAAATTACTTCATGCCGTTCTATCCATCTAGTGTCGCAGTAATTCATTAAACGCGAAGATGTCAATCCTTGTTTAAATAATTTTGTTTTCAAGATATTAGATCTTCTTATTGATGCTCTCATAAAAGTACTTATTTCTCGTATCACCCCAATGCAGTTTCTAACCGGTTGTAATTTTGATGCATCATTTAAAACTAAATTCAATGAATGAGAGACACAATGAGTGTAAATTGCCATAGGATATTCCTCCAATATTATTGCTTGTACTCCATTGAAAGCTCCACTCATTGCAGCAGCCCCATCATACCCTTGTCCACGCATATAATTTAAATCAAGACCAAGTGACTGAAGTTCCTTTTTTACTGTAGTAGCTAACCCTTTGCCTGTAACATCATGCACTGGTACAAATTTTAAAAAATCTTCTCTTATTTCATTTATATCTTCATCAAAATAACGAACAACTAATGAAAATTGTTCAATTCATTCAATGTTTCATCAGCAAGCACAGTGAAAAATTTGGTTTTTTTCACTTTTTCAATAATAATGTTTTGAATATAAGTTCCTATTAGTTCAATTATTTCATTTTGTATTAATGGACTTGAATACATTTGTTTTGCACCACCATTTAAAATATGAGATTTAAGAGTATTGTCCCCATTTTTAGCTCTATAGCGCAACAAGGCTCTGAAGTTCCCGTCATTATTATCTGGATCATTTAGACTTAGGCGGCCATAATCTTTATGTCCTCTTAATGGGATTTCTTGTCGCCCACAAAATATTATTGTTTCAATTATTGCAGAAATTTTTTTGGTGTTTTCAATAAATTCTTTCTTCATTTGCTTATCGACTTGAAGTTGTACACTATCTATCTTTCCATCAACCATTTTTTAAAAATTATCTGATTTTAAAACTGCTAGTTGGTGATATTGAAGAAGACAAGAATGGTGATAAAAAATTTCTTTGGCTGATTTCCAATTCTGCAATGGTTTTGACACAAACTGTCCAACACTCTGATGTGATCCTTTACCGGAAAAACTTCCAGGACCAAAAACTACATAATTTTTACAAAATGCTCCATTTTGTACTTTAGAATAAGCTAACCATTTAAATTCATCCAACCAGGACTTTTAAAAGTGTCTATTTACATTAGATAATACTTGTACATGCAAATTGGTGAACGAATCTGGTACCCATGTATTTTTTAAAAGCTTTTCTTTAATATCATCACTGAATGTTTTACTAGATGTTCTGTTAATATATAAGCCAATATCATAATCACTGTTGCATGAAGTTGTTTGAGTAGAATTAGAATTAATTATCAAACTCTAAAATTAAATTACATTATAATAATTATTTATTCAATTTCCTTAATAAATACTCACACTAAAATCTGTCTCAGAATTTTCAAAACTGTCATTAACTTTGTATTCATTATTGGCTATAGAATGTACTTGACTGGAACTTGTCTCATGTTTGTGCGCCTTTAAATTAATATATAAATTGGGTATAAAAAAAAAAGAAAAAGAAATAAGTATACTTACTTAATAATTACTAGATAGTAGATACCTACATCATACATGTTACATAATATTAAATGGTACAATATTGATAAACATAACATTTTTAATTTAGTTCTTAAATAATAAAATCCAATTGTATAATGTATAAAAGGAAATTATTGAAACTTATAGAAACATACAATTTTAAAATATAATTTTATATTTTTTATAGAAATGATTTTTTACTAAATAACTAGTATATTAAGAGTAATACTGGGAGAAGTTATGAGTATCTACTATTGTATAAGTATTGGAAATGTACACACTTTTCAGAAAATAATTTTTTTTTAAATGTTACACTAATTACTAGATTACACTAATTAAATTTATTACCTTTTTAGATGATTGTATATAATCTAAATCACTAATTTCACTAGAAAAAGGGTGTTTCTCAACAGAGTTTCCTTTATTCAATTGTGTGTTCTAAAAATTAATACACAAATAAAAATATATCATTAAACTATAATAAAAAATAAAAATATGAATGGAAATAATGGATGTTTTAATTTATTTAAATAAATCTTGTTTATGTTTTAGAGGTTTAATGTTTGTAAATTTGTTTAAAAAGATAGGTAGGCAACTAACTAAAATATCTAAATTTAATTTATTATTTTAGATATTTTAATGTATAATATTTATTAATATGAATAGGCAATTAAATAGTTTTACATTTTAATAAATGATTTGACAATGAATATTCAATAATGATATTAATTTAGGATATATTTCAAACTTAAAATCATCCATCAAGACATAAATTATGGTACCTAGCTTTTTTAAATAGATAAAATATTAATATTAAATTGTATTTACTTACTTTTTTGGCATCAAAAACATATTTTTTTAATTTGTCTTTAAAATCCATTATTATAACCTATTAACGTATTTAACACAAAATGTTTTAAGTACTATTATAAATATTATAATCAATCAAATAATTAAAATATGCGATTCCAAGGCGGCGAGTGTTTCAGCGTCTGTCGTTGTGGACGTTTTAGTTATTGGGTAGGACAATGCTATCAACAACAACGTAAACATAAATATCGAATAAAGACGTATAAACTAATAATAATTATTAACCGATCTATAAATAGCATTTATAGTGATTGATAAACAATTACTATTATTGCCAGTTTGGACGTCTGGCAGCATATTCAGCATAATATTATATTTATAATATTATTCCCATAGATATACTAATATATTATAGATAATAAATGATGATAATACATAATGTCAAATATTCGTATAATCATATTTGTTATTTTTCAACTGGCTACGAAGTATTATAACTTATAATATTAATATAATATGTTCAATGTTGTTCTATTTAAAAATAAATACTGTTATTTCGGGGTGGGCTGCAGCCCACTAGCCCCCCCCCCCTATATACACCACTGTATCCGATAGGCACGTCATCTAGCGGGGCCATAGGGGGCCTGGACGCCTGGTCCTCTAAGAAAAGTCAGTGGCCCCAAATTGATTTTATTTTTAAATAATATATATATTATGGCGTTTAATTTTCCGAAATCCTGAATATATTATATTTTATTACTCTATATAATTAGCGATTGTATAACAATAGTTTAATTCTAAGATTTTATTTTATAAATATTTGTTACTCGACAATTTGAGATAAGAGTAAGACACATCTAATAGATTAAAAACTAGAAATTCCAAATACGGTTATTGGACGTACATTGATGAACACAATTACGGTCAAGATTACAATAATAGTGAACCTATATAATGAGATGATCATGCTTAACAAAATAAAAATATAATATTATTCTCTATTGAGTTTGAGTATTGATTATTCATTCAAAACACGCAACGTTGTAAACCGTAGTGGCTTACAAGGCATGATATAATAAAAAAAAAACTTGAGAACCGAGAGGTAAGTACGATAATTATACATAAATACTTCGGATAAATTGTATCTACAAAAGTCTTATTTACCTATATTTTATATTTAATAATTATCGTAATTATTTCCTTATTAGTTAATAATCAATATTGATAACGCATTCATGTAATTTTGGGGCGTAGCATGATGGGTATGTAATAGTTGCCCCCAAAAGTATCTTTTTATACCAATTTCCCTTAAACTACTTAAAGGAAAATGTACCAGTTGCCCTCAACCAAATATACCAGTTGCTCTCACATGTTAATGTATACACAATTACAATATATAGCTTGTAAAATAGGGGAGGTAAATATAAAAATCATAAATTAAATATAAAATTATTTTAAAAAATAAAGTAAAATAGTACAAAGTTATAGAGTCAAATTCATAATAAATAATCTAATTAATACGAAATTAAATAATAATACGAAAGTGGCTTATTAAATATAATAATTTGTCAATAAAATATAGTATAAAATTCAAAAGTATTATGTTTTGTTATAATTACTAACCGATTTTACAAAATGTAATCTACTGATATTTTTGTTTTTATATTTATTTATTAAATCTTCGATGCTGGCTTTTTTGTTTAAGTATGTGCACTTTGTAATATTTTTAATTTCGTTTACATTGCTTATAGCAATGTATATATTTGTTTGTATTTTTTTTATAACATTTACGAAAATAAAAATATTTGGATGTGCACTACTAAAGTTCCTCGAAAATGACGAATGAAATGATTCACAAGCATTGGTTATTCTTTCTGAATCAATTGAATTCATAGCCCACAGTGATGGTGCAAAAGTTGAACTCGATGAAATATATGTGTCAACTAAATAGTCAGAAAATTCAACTAATTTTTCTGATAAAGGCTAAATTGACATCAGATCTTCAACAAAACAATCGTCTACTTCACTAGAGGGTAGTAATGAGAGACCGAAAATTAAGTGAAGCCATTTTCAAATTTTTGAATTTGAATCCATATAATCCAGCTTTAATCCTAAATGTTGTATGCGCTTCCACCATGACTGAGTTAGATAAAATCTGCACCCCGCGACTGTAATTAATGGCCAAACAACTTTAGAAGCTACTTGGATACTTTGTTCGAAATCGGATACAATCATTGACGGATTGAATTCAAGTTTAAAGCCAGAGTATTTTTCTTTAAATATATTAAATAATAATTCATACGTTTTCGATGATTTGTTTGGGAGTAATGAAAACACTAATGGAATATATTTTCCATTTTTGACATGGTTTATTGTAAAAATTTGTAAAAAATACTTCGCACAGTATTCAAATGTTCCGTCTACGAACATTTTATCTCGGGAACATAAAAATTTTAAATTTGATTTTGTAGTAAAACATATTATATTTTCTGTCTCGTTGTTATATAATAGAAAATTTTCGTCTTTTAAAGTATTTAATTGTAATAATGTTAATGCTGAGTGAACTTCGGAAATAGATTTTTGGTAGTGGTGGAAGTGTTTTTATTCTCACACGATAAATGCTTCTGCAAATGGAGTTTACATCCTTTAGTGTTATATCCACGACATTTGATTGAACTTCTTCTCGTATTAATTTTAATGGGTGTTTAGAAATTTTATCCACAGCTTTCCGTTTTAAATTATTAGAAATGGTTACTTTTGTTAAATTTTTACGCGGCAAATGTTTGTGTTGGATAATCGGTTTTAAAAGTACCGTTTCGTCGTCACTTAAGAACAGCTTTGACGTACACGACTTTAATGTACATCGCCATTTTACACCAGTTTGTGTAATGCGATCTTTATAAAAAGTATTATTATTTAAAGCCAATAAAATATTGCCCTTTTTATTATACACTCGCGTAATATTTTCCATTGGATTAACAACTTCAATGCTTTCCGTAATTCGTCTACTAAAATGTGCTTATTAAAGACGTATAAAAGATCATAAAAATACTAATAAAGATATAATAAATGATAATAACAAGCGTATTCCGATAAAGCCTAATAAAATAATTGTGGTTAGGTACTTGTTACTTATAAATCGGACGCATCTAAAATAACGCATTTTAGTAAAATCCTTGCTTTGCACCAAGTAGGCTATTATTATTTATTAGTTATTACAAAATACAATATTATATATTATAACTCCAATTTCCAAGCATATGAATTTGATTCTATCATTTTATATTTTATATTTTATTTATAATTTGTTTATTTACCTTCCCTATTTTACGAACTATTTATTGTAATTATGTATATATTAACATGTGAGGGCAACTGGTATATTTTTAAAATCTTGTTAACAGCTGAGGGGGTCAACTGGTCAACACCCAACATGATTGCACACTTTTTACCTTTTTACCTGAAAAAAAAACACAACACGATTGCGCACTTTTTACCTTTTTATAATTGAAAAAGCATTAGGTAGTAGCCAGTAGGTAGATATTAATCTGTATTAATTAACAGATGCATGTTAGGTATTATGTATTTTACATTTTTTAGACATTTTATTCTATGTATAATATTGTCAATAAATTTAAGTACCTATTTTATTTATTTTTATTATTAAAATGATTATTATTATTAGTGTTTTATTGTGTTATAATATACATACCGTTAATTTCAGTACTTAGACTATCCGTATAAATTATAATATTTTAACATAGGAGGTAGTACGACTATATATACCTATTTCTTGATTTTTGTTATTTACCATTTGGTTACTACATTATTTTAATAAATTAATGATTTTATTCATGACATTTTGATTTACCTTATCAATAATATTATGATTAATTTTTCATACTAATTGGTATTAGTACTTCTATTTATTATACTTAACCAATATACAGATAATACTTTGTAAAATGTATTATTTTAATTTTTTTTATTGACATTGTGTAATAAAAAGAAGAATGGTATAGGGGTACAAAAAATAGAAAGGGGCCAAAAAATGTCGGCCCCTAATGGAAAAATGTCTGACTGCATGCTTAATTCATATTACAAAGTATATTATACGTTCTTAACGGCACTTGCAATACAAAAAGTTAACAGATGTATGGTTTCAAATATTATCGAATAACGATAAAATATAATTAACTCCTTTTTGCAGTTATTCACTATTCATGGTTTTAAGAATCAAAATTATGTAGGTACTATTAGTTTTTGATTTGCTTTCTGACAAAAATAGCCATATATATATAGGTACAGCACACTATTTTTAAAAGTTAATGAAATGTAGTTACAAAATAATTCACGGTTTCAATCAGTTACAGTTGTATAGAACTTTAAAGTTGCTGTTCATAATACGATTAAAAATATTTGGCCAACAGCGCAAATTCATAATTGTAATTTTAATTTGTGCAAAAATTGGTATAGAAAAATCCAGCAATTAGGTTTAACATTACAATGACGGTGAATCTGAAATTGGAAAATTTTTAGTTCTCAAATTCGGTTTACCATTATTGCAAGATGGTAGATGGTAGATGTTAATGATATTGAATTTTACTT